CAGCAGGCCCCCAAGAGAGCCCCAAGAGGCCCCGAGGGCCCCAAGGCGGCCCAAGACGCCTCCAAGACAGCCCCAGAGGGTGTCCAGCCGAGGGGCCCGAGCTGACACTTCGAGCACTGGCCACCCGGGCCCCGCGAGGCCCCCAGGAAACCCCAAGAAGCCCTAAGAGGCCCCCAAGAGGCCTGAGAGGCTTCCAAGAGGCCTCCGCGACGCCCCCAAGAGGCTCCCAAGAGAGGCAGCACGAAACAACTCAGGCCCACGAGGAGCCCCGAGTGAGCCTCACAAAGCCCCCGAGAGACCGCCCTCCCCCAAAGGATCCTTGGGGGGTCACTTTCGGGGTCCACACCTGTGCCCCCGAAAGGCCGGCGGCGCGCTGACAGAGGGGGGTTCGGCGGCGCACGCGATCTGGCTTGGAGCGCCAGCCGCTCCCCAGCGTCAGCCGGCCTCTTCTCCTCTTCTGGCCCCCCATTGTTGCCTCCTGTTGCTTCGTATGCTCCTTCCTCCTCTCTCCTGTACCCCTCCAAGTTCTAACATCCCCCCTACTCCGCACGGTGGCTGCAAATGCTGCAGCACCACTCCTTCGCAGCATGGTCATTAAGTTTTCGCCTCTGCGTTTGAGAAGCTTGCTCTGTGCTCGGATCCTTGTTGCGCCTGCAGTGACAAGTGATTTCGCTTTGTGCAGCGTCCCATTTTTCCGAGGCTTCCGGAGCACTATGAATTAAGCTGCTGCTCTATCGAGCACCAGGCTGCCACCGCAGCCATAGTTACCTAGCTTTGCGTTCGTGTCTTCTTGGGCCTGTGCTCCATCGGGAGCGACTGCAGTGCCAGGCTCGCGCCTCGGGCAGTCGAGCCTACATGGAGGCTTCTGGGTTCCTCCTGTTCCATGTCTTCTCTCAGCCCCGTCCTTTCTTCTAAGTGCAACCTTAGCGGTGCACGGTGCACTGCGAGGCTGCTGCCATGAGCTGCTACTCTGCCAGTGGCTCACATATTATATGCGCGTTTTGCCTCTGGGTTGGCCATTGTGTCTCCTCTGTACGAGTGTTTTTTTGTAGGACTGCAGCTTTCCAGCCCGCGCCGTTACAGTGACAGTTATGATTCTACAGGCTTGCGCCACATCCGCCGACCCCCATATCGAAGACGCCTACGGCGAATCACCGCCGCCCCCTGCCTTTTTGGAAGCGCCTATGTGGCCGAACGTTGAGGCCAGACCTGCCAAGCTATCGGACCACGTGTTCCCCGAATCGGTTTGGAAAGCCTTCGGGGAACACGTGGGCATCTTGAAGGTCATCTTGGCCGTCTTGGAGGCCTCTTGGGCAAGCTTTGGGCGATCTTTGGGGGGCTTTTTGGGCCGTCTCGGGCCAGCTTCGAGCCAACTTCGGCCATCTTGGTGGGTTCCTGGCACGTCTGAAGCCGTCGGAAGCCGTTTGGGGGGCCTCTATGGGCCGACTTGGGGCCCGCTTGGAATGCTCCAGGGCCGTCTTGGAGGCCATCTTGGGCGTCTTGGAGGCCATCTTGGGCGCGTTGGAGGCCTCTTGGGCCCTCTTGGGGCCCTCTAGGGGCCATCTTGGAGGCCACTTGGGCCATCAGGGGGCTCTCTTGGGGGCCTCTTGGGCGATCTTGGGGGCTTCTTGGGCCGTCTTGAGCCGTCGGAGAGCCGAAAAGGCGCAAATGCCAAAATCCTTCAAAAACCAAGGGAAAATCAATGATTTTGGCCTCTTCGGACTCTCCTGGAGGACCTCTTGGAGGCCTCTTGGGCCGTCTGGGAGGCCTCTGGGGTCCGCCGACCCCTATATCTACGTAATGGCCTTCGGCCCATCCCGCCGCCGTGCCTGGGTTGTGGGTCATAGGCCTCTTGGATGTTCGTTGGGGTCTCGTGGGAAGCCTCTCGGGAGCCTCCTAGAGGCAGTTTTGAGGCCTCTGGGGATCGTTTTGGGGCCACGTTTAGGCATCTGGGGAGCCTCTTGAGGCCTCTTGGGGGGCCTCTTGGGGGCCTCCTCGGGGCTTCTTGGGGCCGGAGGCTCGGATTTTCGGTTCGCGTTCTCCTTCTTGGGCCCCTCTTGAGGCTGTCTGGGGGCCCTCGTGGGCCGTCTTGGGCGCCTCTTGGGCCGTCTTGGGCGCCCTGTGGGGCCGTCTTGGGGCCTTCTTGGAGGCTTCTTGGGCCGTCTTGGAGTGGTCTTGGAGGCTTCTAGGGACGTCATGGAGCGGCGGAAGGCCGAAAAGGCGAGAATACCAAAATCCTCCACAGATTTTTTCAGAACATTTATGATTTGGCCTCTTGGAAGTGCTCTTGGAGGGCTCTTCAGCCGTCTTGGGGCTATTTTGGGCGTCTTGGAGCGATCTTTCAGAGACTCGGGGCCTTCTTGAACCGTCTTGGGTGCGTCTTGGGGCCCTCTTAGGTCGTCGGGGGACCCTTAATCCCCCAAGGCCTGGGGGGGGGGGTCAAATTCCCAGTTTTGGGGCCCCTGGGGGGTGGGGGGGAAAGAATCTTTGGAGGGGAATCTCACGCGCCCAGAGACCCACGAGGGGTCGGCGGATCTGCGAAAGCCTTGGAAGTGCGCTCACGCGCCCGCGACCGCCGCTAAACAGGTAGACAAGATGTTCGCGCTCGCGGGCCAGGCGCTAAACGGTAGGTGATGTCGCATGCGAGGTAACCTGTTTTCTCTCCTTTCCACATCCTCCCAGCAGCTTGGCAGCGTGCAGCTAAACATCTGTTCAACTTTTGTGTTTAAACCAGCTGGAGGCGCAAAGTCCGGCCTCACTGAGAGGATCAGCTGGGATAAACATTGAGCAGTTGCTTGCATGGCTAATTTAACCTGTATATTCAGTCGGATCCGCAAAGGACGGCCTCACTGAGAGGATCGACTGTTTAAACGCAGATTTTAAACAGTTGAATTCGTTTCGCTTTTAACCCTTCGCTGTACGCTGCGCACTGGCGAAAGCGGTCTGGGTACATGCCCTAACGTCCTGCTCTTCCTCTTTCTCCTCTCGTTCCTCTTCGTCTCACTCCTCGACGACGACGACAACATCGACGGACGACGGACGACGACGACGACGTCGACGACGACGACGACGACGACGGGCGACGGACGACGGACGACGGACGACGGACGACGGACGACGGACGACGGACGACGGACGACGACGACGACGACGACGACGACGACGACGACGACGACGACGACGGACGACGGACGACGGACGACGGACGACGGACGACGGACGACGGACGACGGACGACGGACGACGGACGACGGACGACGACGACGACGACGACGACGACGACGACGAAGTCCAGCGGCCTGGCGGTTTGATGGCGTCGCCGCGCCGGTCGGCCGAGCTGCACGCAGCGGCTCCGAGGGGCCCCGGGGGGCACAGAAGCTGCCTCCGGCCGCCCTCTCCCTCCTCGTCCTCGTCGTCGTCGTCGTCGTCCTCGTTCTCCTTGTCGTCCTCCTCGTTCTCCTCGTGGCTGCCAGCACGCTTGAGGTCGAACGCGCCACCGCCTGCCACGCGGTGGCAGGGCGTCCCGACAGGCACCCTGCTGTCATCATTCGTGGGGCGGGCGGGGAGAGTTGGGTAGAGATGAAAGAGGCTGCACGAGTCCCATTCTTTGCAGCTGTGGCCCCGCCCTGGCTTGATCTTTTGTGCTCGATGCGGGCGCACCGCCACCATCAACCCGTGCAACCTCTCAGGGGCTTGCGGGGGAGAGACTCTGAAGGGCCGCGAGAACCTTGCGCGGATCCAGAGGGGTTTGCACCCCAATCGACGGGTCTCGGCGGCGGCCGCGGAAGCGTGAGGAGGCCCTCCGCCATTTTCCCTGCCGAGCTTGAGCGTTCCACCCGACTGTGGGCGTCAGGAAACGCTGAGGAAACTCCTCCTCCTCCTCCTCCTCCTCCTCCTCCTCCTCCTCCTCCTCCTCCTCCGTCCTCCTCCGTCCTCCTCCGTCCCCCTCCGTCCCCCTCCGTCCCCCCGAGCCCGCTCTCCAGAAGGTTCCGTCGTCATCCGCTCACTCTTCTGGTCCGGGCGGGGCGACAGTGGGCCTGCGCGCTGTACCACAAGCTCGTGGCTGCCAGCACGCTTGAGGCCGAACGCGCCACCGCCTGCCACGCGGTGGCAGGGCGTCCCGACAGGCACCCTGCTGTCATCATTCGCCTTGGCAGGGCGTCCCGACAGGCACCCTGCTGTCATCATTCGTGGGGCGGGCGGGGAGAGTTGGGTAGAGATGAAAGAGGCTGCACGAGTCCCATTCTTTGCAGCTGTGGTCCCGCCCCGGCTTGGTCTTTTGTGCTCGGTGCGGGCGCACCGCCACCATCAACCCGTGCAACCTCTCAGGGGCTTGCGGGGGAGAGACTCGGAAGGGCCGCGAGAACCTTGCGCGGATCCAGAGGGGTTTGCACCCCAATCGACGGGTCTCGGTGGCGGCCGCGGAGGCGTGAGGAGGCCCTCCGCCATCCCCCCTGCCGAGCTTGAGCGTTCCACCCGACTGTGGGCGTCAGGAAACGCTGAGGCAACTCCCCCTCCTCCTCATCCTCCTCCTCCTTCTCCTCCTCCTTCTCCTCCTCCTTCCATTTCACTTATCATCCTCTCCGTAGTAATTTTGGCGCAAGCGACGCGGCCGACTGCCGCGGCGCGCCGCAGGTGACCACAGTTTCTGGCAGCACGTCGCCTTCCAGCGCATGCCGCCGCGAGTTGCCCTGCGCTTTCGTGGGGGGGGCCGACATGTGCTGCCCAGGAGAGCCCTCGGTGGATCGGGCCTGGCGAAAGGGGGGGATTGGGAAAGGGGGGTTACAAAATTGGCTACATGCAGCTGGTTTCGGCCTCACCGAGGGGCCCATTCCTCGATACATGGGCGCCTCCCGGCGCCGGGAAAATCAGCTACGTGAGCTGATTCTCAAACCCCCCCTTTGCTATCCCCCCCTTTCGCCCGACCCGAGTGGAGCCGGTGACTCGTTCTGGGCGCCGCTGGCTACGCGGCCCTGACGCCACACTGGGCGCCACGGTCTCTGCGGGCTTGCCGCCGCCAATGCCGCTGCTTCCGTGGGTCGGCCTCACAGGGCCCCGCCGGCGTCCGCGCGGGCGCTGTGCTCCAGCAGGGCGCAGGCCCGCTGGAGGATCGAGGAGGAGGAGGAGGAGGAGGAGGAGGAGGAGGAGGAGGAGGAGGAGGAGGAGGAGGAGGAGGAGGAGGAGCAGGAGGAGGAGGAGGAGGAGGAGGAGGAAGGAGGAGGAGGAGGAGGAAGGAGGAGGAGGAGGGAGGGAGGAGGAGGAGGAGGAGGAGGAGGAGGAGCAGGGAGGAGCTTGGCCATCGGGGCCCCAGCGGCCGAGCGCAGGCAGGTCCGCGAGCGGCGGCTCGACCGTCAGCGCTGGAGCAGGCTCTGGCCGCCGCGGCGGAGAAAGGTCCTCCTCCTCCTCGTCCTCCTCCTCCTCCTCCTCCTCCTCCTCCTCCTCCTCCTCCTCCTCCTCCTCCTCCTCTTCCCTTCTACACTCCTCCTCCTCGTCCAGGTCGGCGTCGTGGGGGGTCCAGAGGCCGTCGTGGTGCTGGCCGCCCGCAAGGAGGGGAGCAGGTGCGGCACATCGCGCGGCCAAAACGGCTTTGGCCGTTTGGGGCGGAGCCTGCCTCGTGCCCAAGGCAGGCGCGCTGCGGGGCCGAGCGTCACCGCGCCGGCGGCCAAAACAGAACTCCGGGAGGAATCCCAACAGCGAGTTTGACAGAAGATGGTGTGTGTGTGTGTCCGTGCGGCAGCCTTGACGATTACCATCTCAACGCCGATGACGTGCGGGCTTTTAATCCTGTCCTCTCCACTGCGCCCGGCAATGAAGTTCTGGCAACATGGAGCGCGGGGCCGTTGTGATTGCTGCACCTGGTTGGTCCAGATCAGTCCAGATCAGGCCTGGCAGTGGGGATGTGGGAGAATGAAGCGCAGGGCGTTAGGGCCAGGAACTTCGTTTTGCAAGCGGGCGATATCAAGTTCAGGCCCGGCAGTGGAGCTCTGGCAACACCATCTCCAGGCCACAGGGGAATCTGAAACTTACGTTTCCGAGATGTGGCCGCTGGTGACGTTGCGATTCGTGTTGATGATATTTGACATCTTGCTCCCTGATTACGGTCCCATTCCTTGACCTCCCAATCCCGTAACCTCTTCTAAGACCCTGTTGATACGACTCGATCCTACCATCCGCTTCCATCCGTCCTCCGTCTATTTCCCTCCCTCCCTCCCTCCCTCCCTCCCTCCTGCTCCTCGTACCTCTAGTAGAGGTACGAGGAGCCTACTCCTTTCCATCTGCCTTATCTCCGTTCTCCTGCCCCTCCTCCCTCCCCCCGTTCGTCCCCCCTTTCTCTCCCTCCATCATCCACCTCCTCCCGCTCTGATCCCTGGCTCCTCATCCTCGAGCTCGAGCTGCGGGCTGGCTCCTCCCTGCGAAGGAGCCAGCCCTCCTCCTCCTCCTCCTCCTCCCTCCTCTCCTCTCTCCTCCTCCCCTCCTCCTCTCCCTCCTCCTCCTCCTCCTCCTCCTCCTCCTCCTCCTCCTCCCTCTTCCTCCTCCTCCTCCCTCATCATCATCAGCAGCAGCATCAGCATCATCATCATCCCTCATCCTCATCCTCTCATTCTGCCCCGCCTCATCATCCCTCCCTCGCCCCCTCCTCCTCCTCCTCCTCCTCCTCCCTCCTCCTCCTCCTCATCATCATCATCATCAGCAGCAGCATCAGCATCAGCATCATCATCCTCATCCTCATCCTCATTCCTGCCCCTCATCCTCCTCGCCCCTCCTCCTCTCTCCTCCTCCTCCTCCTCCTCCTGCTCCTCCTCCTCCTCCTCCTCCTCCTCCTCCTCCTCCGCCTCATCATCCCTCCGTCGTCCTTCCCCCCTGCCCTCTTCCTCCCCCCAGCCCTCCTCACTCGTCCCGCTCCTCAGCGCGATGGTGTGCCTCTCACCCAAATACCAGTTCCCTGGGCGGAGGTATCCTCGAGGACCGCGCGAAGGTGCGCGCGCTCCTGGAGGGCACGGCGGAGGCGGCCGAGGAGCGCGGGCTGTCATCGTCGTCGGCGTCGTCGCCGTCGGTCTTTGAAGATAAGGGGGGTCAGTCCTCCCCCTCCCTCCTTGCTCCTCCCTCCTCCCGCCGCCGCCTCTTCTTCCTCCCTTGTTCCCTTCGCCGCCTCCTCCTCCTCCACCGCATCTCCTGGGCGCCTCCTGAAGGCTTTGCTATGGTAATAGACAGTGGGCGGCAAGCAGACAGGAGATTGCATTCTGAGTGGATTAGACAGTACATCCACGCAGTTCGCATCAAGTCGTAAGTGACAATAGGACCCGCATGACATGTTACATTCATGATCCATGAACTACCACTCGGGCCGCCGCCAAGGAATATATTGTTCACCAAAGCGGCACCTGATTGCTGCACCTCGTTATACACACGCGATATCCCTTCAATGTGTCTCATATGTGCTTGCAGTTGCCACGTACAGTGCGCATACAAGGCCCGTGCCCTGTTCGGCACCCTGGTGGCGCCAAAAGACGACCGGAATGAACAGGAGCAGGTGGCGGTGGAGGACAAGAATGAGCATATAGAGGAGGAAGAGGAGGAAGAGGAGGAAGAGGAGGAGGAGGAGGAGGAGGAGGAACGAGAGCGGAGGCACGAGCGAGCGCTGCAGGTGGGCTGGGGACCAGGGGCGGAGTGGAACTGAGCGCGCGCAGGACAAGGGGGTCGCAACTGCCATGGCCGATGGCGCGTCCCCTGCGAAGACGACGGCCCACAATGCAGCTTGACGGGCTGACTGCTGAACCTTTTTTAGATGAGGCGAGGAAGAGGAGGAGGAGGAGGAGGAGGAGGAGGAGGAGGAGGAGGAGGAGGAGAGGAGAGAAGGGTAGGACTAGGAGTAGGAGTAGGAGTCAAGCTAGCCAGCTCGAGCGAGCCAAGCATGGCATGCCCATTCCCACCCGCCCTCCCACAACATAAGAAACAGTGCTGGCGCAACTGGAGACCGAAATCAGATCGGCAAGGTGGTTGGCCACAGCTGATGCAGCCGCGATGGCGGTTACCGATCAGAAAATCCTAGCGCGTCTCAAAGACTGCGCTGGCATTTCAGCACGAGCCGACGAGGCCTCAGGAAGCCGGAGGCCTCAGGAGGCCCCAGGAGGTTGCAGGAAGCCCCAGCGGGCCCCAGGAAGCTTCAAGAGGCCCCAGGAAGCCTCAGGAGGCCCCAGGAGGTTGCAGGAAACCCCAGCGAACCCCAGAAACCCCAGGAGGCTTCAGGAGGGCCCAGGAAGCCCCAGGAGGTTCCAGGAGGCTCCAGGAAGCCCTAGGAGGTGTCAGGAAGCCCCGGGAATCCCAGGAATCCCTAGGATGCCTTAGGAGGCCCCAGGAGGATCCACGAGGCCCTGGGGAAACCCCAGGATGTTCCAGGAGACCCTGAGAGGCCCCAGGTGGCCCTTGGCGCTCGACGAATTGGCGAGCGAAAAATGTGCGCCGCGCCTCAGCGGGAGCGCAACTTTCAGAAAACATGCGCGCGGCGCCGAAGCGGGAGCGACAGTTCAGCCTGTCGCGCGCGGTGTGCACCGCCACCCATTCCTGCCACGCATATCGCAAAGCCGACGACAAGAAAGCCCTCGCTGAGAAGAAGCATGTCTACTTTGTATGTGTTTTCGAAAGGTCGGATGGCCCCTCCCGCATGGGGTTGCCCCAGACGTCCGCGCGCGATGCGCGCCGCGTCCCATTCCTGCTACGCATGTCGCATCGTCGACGACAAGAGAGGCCATGTTGAGAGAAACAACGGCGACTTTGTATGGATTTGTTTTGCAGTCAGGATGGTAGGGCACGGATTGACGGCCGCGCGCGATGCGCGCCGCGTCCTATTCCTGCTACGCATTTCGCATCGTCGACGACAAGAAAGGCCATGTTGAGAGAACAACGACGCCTTTGTATGGATTTTTTACAGTTACGATGGGAGGGCCCAGATGGAACCGCTATCGTCCGGCCAGACGGGGGAGTAAGAGTATATTCGAATATAAGGAATAAGGATAGGAGTAGGAGCAGGAGCAGGAGTAGGAGTAGGAGTAGTAGTAGTAGTAGTAGTAGTAGTAGTAGTAGTAGTAGTAGTAGTAGTAGTAGTAGTAGTAGTAGTAGTAGTAGTAGTAGTAGTAGTAGGAGTAGGTAGTAGTAGGAGTAGGAGTAGTAGTAGTAGTAGTAGGTAGTAGGTAGTAGTAGTAGTAGGAGTAGTAGAGTAGAGTAGTAGGAGTAGTAGTAGTAGTAGAGTAGTAGTAGTAGTAGTAGTAGTAGTAGTAGGAGGAGGAGGAGGAGGAGTAGTAGTAGGAGTAGTAGTAGAGAGAGTAGTAGAGTAGTAGAGAGTAGTAGAGTAGAGGAGGAGTAGAGAGAGTAGGAGTTAGGAGTAGGAGTAGGAGTAGGAGGAGAGTAGATGTAGGAGTAAGAGTAGGAGGAGGAGGAGGAGGAGGAGGAGGAGGAGGAGGAGAGAGGAGAGAGAGGAGAGAGAGGAGAGAGAGGAGAGGAGAGAGGAGAGTTGAGAGAGGAGAGTTGAGACAGGAGAGAGGAGAGAGGAGAGAGGAGAGAGGAGAGAGGAGAGAGGAGAGAGGAGAGAGGAGAGAAGAGAGAGGAGAGGGGAGAGGAGAGAGGAGAGGAGAGACGAGTGGGAGGAGGCACAGCAGAGGCAGGCATGACAGGAGGAGCAGGTGGAGGTGCAGGAGCAGGAGAACGAGGAGAGCAGAATGGTTCGGGGCGGTGGAAGAGCGATTCCGTCGCGCCCCGGCATTTGTCCACAGTTTTGTGTCACGCCTGGTGCGCCACGGGCCGGCATGACCGTGGGTACAGGAGCCTCCGCGAGCAAACATCTTGGCACATGAATCTGCCTCTTCGCATTCCGGTTCACCGCGGCAGAAGCTTGCCGGTTGCCCAAGCTATCTCCCGCCTGACAGGTGTGCACGCCTCTCGCCTTGTCGACGCATTGTCTATTAGATTCCGCGTGTATGTGTTCTCTCGGGCTGTCTGCCCTGTC